CTTGTGCAGACAGCTAAAAAATCGTCTTTCTTAAACGAATCACAAACGCGAAACGACATCAAGAGCTAGTAGTTTATTACCGGTTTTCAACATCGTTTCCACCAGCAGGGAGTGCAAATGGCTGAAGCACTTGAGGCAAAGCAACATCTTTATGAGGAATGAAACCGACATTGTAGCTCGGTGAACACACAACCCTAATTGTATTCTTAATCAGAACCGGAGATCCTTCGAATGCTCTAACACCAACATCGTGACAAGTAACAAAGAAATGATCTGCTCCTAATGTTCTATTCCAATAAGGATACGTAGCTATCAATCCATCAACATAATTCTGAACAATCACAGTCATGTTCTCATATGATGTTCCCTACAACAACAATCATCACATCAATCATCAAACAAACCCTAACTTCATGAATCTCTCAAGAGAACAACCAAATCGGAGAATTCTTACTTTGCCTCGCATCTTATGACAAGAAATTGGAATGAAGAAGAGATCTGCTTCCTCTGGATCTAGGGTTCGAAACCGAGATTCTCTAATGTTCTGGAAAAAGTAACCTTCGCTTGCGTATTTTCCGGTAACTTTTCTCGGCGTCTGATAAAAAGTGTTTGGATCTCCGTCGGGATAAACATAAACCTTGAATCGCTTCTCCATCTCGGCGTAATTCAACCGGAACGATCCCGGCGAGTGATAAACATCGGAATAGTTTACTTCCTCCGTCGATTCGCCGCCGATATCTTCCTTTGCGAATGTCTGAGGAACCTGAATCGAGTCTACGACGACTGGAGAAGGCGGTGAAGTGCGTAAGGAATTGAGAGAGAGGTAGAAGAGGGAGACGCAAGTGAGAATAGCGACGGTGAGAAGTGATCCTTTGAGTGAACATAACGGCGAAGATCCGCCGGAAAATGATGGTTTAACGATTGTCATTGGCCGGAATCTGAACAAGTTCACAAGCTCTGGGCTCTATTAGCTGTCTTTGTCTTCTAAGCTCACATGTACTATTTTTTTTTTATATTGCTGTATTTTATCGATCTACAATATTTAAGACTGTAATTTTTTTTTAGATCTTTTAGTCTTGTATTTTGTTTGGATTAGTCCTTATCTTGTATTATAGGTAAGATTTGTTCTAGGAAAAGCAATCTTTATGAAAATATGACTTCTTAAAAGTATTTTTTTGTGGTTGATTAATAGAGTTTGTTACTAATTTTGATTTGTAACACAGAAAAAAGTTAATATTTTTTGACAAACAAAAAAAATTATATAAACTCATCACCCCTGATTTGAATAACCAAAAACCGTTATAAAATGGTTTATTAATCTAATGATCGTGATAAAAAAAAATTTGATGATAAAAAAAATAAACAATAAAATAAGAGATAGCGATAAAATCTAAAATTACAGCAAAACACATCTACGGTCTAAAATCCACAGCCGAATCAATCATCTACTAAAACATTATTTTTTTACTGCATCGATAATAGGTTTATTAATCAAACAATTAAGAGTTTTTTTCTATTATTTTATATTTGTGTTTGGGATAGAAAGTTTACTTCTCTATCTTGAAATGGATTCTTCTACCACATCACGTGAGACCTGTCTATTTATAGATTTTTTTTTTATGGATATTGGATGTTGTAACAAAAATAGGAATTATTTGCTAGAAATATAACAAAAAAAACTATAATATACAAACTAACCAAAATTCTTTTTTTTTCTTATATCTTTTTCTATCTCTTTCTAAGATTTTTCTAGATTCCTAATTATAAACTTTTTTGATTTTATTATTGTAAATGACCCATAAAAATATGTCTAGACTAAAGAAGAACAAGAATTATAAGTCATGCAAACAAAAAAAAGGATGTTGTTGACTAAACTATTTTATTTTTGAAGCAGCTAAAAAATTGTAAATGTTAGTATGTATTTTTCACTTTATCAAAAACCTATCTACCATGAAATTTTGTTTTTCAACGAAAAGGCATAACTACCCGCATCATATATACATTCAAGATCATAGAAAATTCAACCAATAAGATAATTAGTCTCTCTAAAATGGTTGTATCTACATCAAAAAAAATTATATTCTCTTGAACTAAATATGCATGATCTAGTAAAAGCACGAATTAATTTCTTAATTGGTTAGATCAGTGAAGTCTATGACTAGTTTTTTTTTTAAGATTAGTAAAATAATAGTGTATTATATTTGGCTTTCCGTCAAGGAAATCGTTTTGTTTTACTAGTTTTAGGAGTTTCATATGCCCAGAGACTAGAAGCAATTGAAACCTAAAACAATAGATAAAAAGATATTGACCAATCTACTCATTAATTATCTATTTATTAAAAAGAATATATCCAATTTTGCTAATTAAGTGGAGTATATTGTTTAACTTTCTTATTAATTAAAGTTTTTTAAAAACCTTTATTAAGTTCCCAAAGGTCCAAATTTCAATTAATTATATATTAATGTAGGGAAAAAAGGAAATCAGGTTTAACTAATAGATTTCAAGCACTCTTTGATTCTCTTTTCTACGACTCTTTAACCAAATATCTTAGGAATATAAGAAACACAAATTTAAATAGCTTGTCACAACATTTAAACCATACAATCAATCAATCCAACGTGTATACATCTTGTTCATTGTGTATGCAACACAAATTTTCACAATATATATGAACATATATACCAAAGAAAGATCTTTAGAAACCTTCCATTATTTTTGCAAAAATCATACCTTCCATATTCTTTATAATTTTTATTAAACAATAAAAAAGGAAATAAAAATAGGACATTTAAGAAACTAATATTTTCTGTATTCTTTTATATGAAGCTGAGTTCTATTAGAACTCTAATGTCAAACGTCAAAGTAACTCCTGGTTAGGTTTTGGTGCACCTATTCCCGTTTAGTCTTGGACTTTGTTTAACAAATTATTCCACGCACACACATATATAAATATGGACGAAGCAAAGATCTTATTCTTACAAACACTAATTTAAATCTGGAGATTTTGAAAGAAAATATGATCTTGCAGAAGAAGATGGCTTCATCAATGATCTGTTTCTTTCTATTGCTTCTTCTTCCAATAGCTTTTTCTGAGCCGACAAGGTCAGTTTTAATTTTGTTTTTCTCTTTAACATATGTTTCAGTCAAACATAACATATACATCTATGTGCTCAAAGTTTATACGTTTCTCAAATTTCATACATATTACG